ATAGGGGAACGGTCAATTAAACCTATGAGTTGCCATGGAAAGTTTAATGCATTCATTAAAAAGAACATGGTAGAACTATTCATACTGTCATGAAAAGATATTCACGACCATGGTTAAGTGAAAAAGAAAGTTCTAGAACAGGATTTATAGTAGGAACCCCTTTAAAAATTCATTCTATTTATCCATCCATCTGACCATCTAGACTTTCCTGTGGAATGTCTGTTTCCTGTCTGACTGTCTGTCTGCCGGGTCTGCCTGTAAATATACAGAAGAAAATTTGGATGGAAAATGTTAACTACTAGAGGGAAGGATGGGGAAACAGGAGGCCAAGAAGGAATGGACTTTTACTTTTTACTTTATGTACCTGTGTATTGTTTGAATTTTCCTTTTTTCAATAAGCATATATTACTTTTATATTTAAAACAAACAAAAGGGCCGGCCCCATGGCTTAGCGGTTGGGTGCGCGTGCTCCGCTGCTGGCGGCCCAGGTTCGGATCCCAGGTGCGCACCAACGCACCGCTTCTCTGGCCATGCTGGGGCCGCGTCCCACATACAGCAACTAGAAGGATGTACAGCTATGACATGCAACTATCTACTGGGGCTTTGGGGGAAAAAAAATAAAAATTAAATTAAATTAAATTAAAACAAACAAAAACTGCCAATAAAGAAAAACAAAGGAAGTTATTTGCCTTCTCCAAACACTCTGCCTCAGCCATCATTCCGGAACCGCAAGTGCTTTGTGCTGGACTGATCTGCCTCTGCAGGGCAGCCACACACACACACACACACACACCCCCGCCCCGACAGCTACACCATTAGAATGCTCCTACTTAAGGCAGCACTTCCCGCCCGCTGCAAGGACGAACCTTTGATCCCCTCGGCCCTCAGGTGGGAAGTTCTGCCTTAAGAGACAGGATAAACTGAACACCCCACCCACTCACCCACCCACATAAAGGGTAGGAGGAAGCATGCGTTTTGCAATCACAAAGAATCTAATTAGATGGTGCCATTTATCCTAACTGGCTGAGAAAGAAGCATTTATGGCAGATGTGGTGATTCTAGTGGCCAAGTTCCAGAAACAGTCCCATGATCATCAGCACAAGAAAGCCAGGATTACTGTGTCAAGGGGGAGGAGAGCAGCAGTCATGCTGACAGGAAGAATGTCATTCCTGGTGAAACGCTAGACCAGAGGTCCTCATGAAAGGTGTTTTGGAAACGCAGGCTCCAGGGTGCTCCAGGCATTCAGCAGGCAGGGAGCAGGGAGGCAGGAGAGTCCTGCACTGTGCAGAACCGTCTGTGTCGCATATGCCCCTCTGAGCACTCAGAGATTGAATGAAGGCCTCGAAATACGCTGCAACGTCAAGAACTGAGATATTTTTGTGACACTTCAACTCCAGCCAGTCACATATCATAACGTTGGGAACTATTATGACACTACCTTCGATCAATAAGACCCAGATCACTTGCAAGAACCTCATATGTCCTCATTGCCTCTGCCTCCCAGGATGTGATACTATCCCTACTTCAACCATGTCATCTCCCCCTTTCTCCTACTATACACAAGGAAGTCAGGCTTGTTATCACCGCTAGTTGTTATTCTAGCGTACACACATTCTCTGCTGTTCCATTTTTCTGTACTTCTTATACAGAATGGCTTCTGATTTTTCTTTCCTTAATCCAGACTTATTTACTATAAGTAGGTGCAAGCATCTAATTGCTCCACTATATCTTCTAGCGTAGTGGTGCCCAAGCATTTGCACACTGAAATATAGATTACTTTATTAGAAATTATTTTCTTTTTATTTCTTCTTTTTGTTATGTTAAGCCATTATACTGATTTTTTTCCAGTTACATATATAGGTAGGAGATATGTATTTTTTCCCCAGAATATATCTTAAGATAACAAATTTATTTAATGTTTGTTATAAAAAGGAGCACCAGGACTGACGGAGCTGAGAACCACAGTGTGGTCTCAGAGAAATATAATCCCTGCCTCGCCAAGATAACTATAATAGCTGGGATTTATTGACTGTCACTTGTGCGCAATGAGTCCATGTCCCCATGAGGTGCTGTTATGTTCTGAAATGAAATGGCTCTGCCAAGGTGAGGAAGGGGCGGAGCTAGATCCACTGCCAGGCAGCCTGTCACCAAAGCCCCTGACAAAAGCTGGACTGGCCTGGCTGGGAAAGGCCAGAGAGCAGAGGACATGACAAACAGGAGCCTGCGTGCCAACCAGAGCCCCACACAGTCTTTCTAACATGTCTGAACTAATACCAGCATTTAATGCTTGGGAGATGTTACATCAAAGTTTCTGGCTTCACTTGAAAAATCAGAGCATCTGGCCACAGTGGACTCACATTCCTACGGCAACTGAGGCAGATGGTTTGCAAAAAATGGCTGCAATTATTCCACTCTCTGTATCCACACCCTTTAAATATGGCTTTGTCTATACAAAAATTGAAAAATAATAATGTACACCTGAAATTACAAAATGTTATAAACCATTATGATCTCAATAAAACAAGTGAAAAAAATATATGACTTCGAAGCTCCTCCCATCAAGAAGTGGGGTCTATTTCTCCACCCCTTGAGTCTGGTACAGCATGCCAATTCCAAGTCGAGACCTCCAAAGGCCTAGCCGCCCCCCCTCTTTCTTTCCATGTGTCTGTCTGTCTCCTCTCAGAACCCGGTGACCACCGTGTGAACAAGTCGGGGCTACCCTGCAGGACAATGAGAGACTGAGTGGCCAGAGCTGAGTCAGCTCATGTGTCCCAGATACAGAAGAGAGCCCAGCCAAGATGAGTAAAGCTGACCTCCATCACAGACATGTGAAGGTGCTCAGCCAGGACTAGAAGAATCATTTACTGAGCCCAGCTAAACTGCTAACATGCAGAAGTGTGAGTTAAATAAATGTTCGTTTTAAGCCATTATGTTTTGGGGTGGTTTGTTATATAGCAAAAGCTACCCACTATAGCAACAATCAGCTCAGGCTGGGCTGCAGCTATACTCTATACAGGGTCTGTTGGCTGTGGTTTGCCACAGTCTCCACTACTCCCTTTTGTCCCACATCTAGCATCTTGCTTCCCCCATTTCGGTTATCCGAAATGTATTTAGTGATCCTTGCTAAAGCCTAAGTTTGTAAGACGCATGAAGGGATGAATCAAAGGGGAAAATGAATGTAGTTTTTCTGGAGGCAGGGAGGGGCTAGGACACGGGTACTTGGAAAAGAGGCTTCAGAGGGTTAAGGGGTGAGGATAAGATAATGGAGAGGAGGAGGGGAGGTCTCAGCAGGCTCCATATGAGATAATGTCATCTTCAAGGACCTAAATCCACACTGTCTTTCTCTTGGGTGTAAAGGGAATGTTTGAGTCAGATAAAACAATAGTAATAATAACCTCTGTTCCTCCAACACTATTCTAATTCCCAGAAAACGACCTTCATCTATCTCCATTTGGTGAGCTTGTCCTGGGGAAGATACAAGCCTTTTTAAAACAGAAAAGAAGCAGAATAATTCACAGGGAAGGAAATCCAGATGACTCTTAAATATACAAAAAGATGATCAATTTTAATCGTAAGAAGACAAATGCAAAGTGAAACCATATCAAGACACCATTTTTTACCTCTCTCAGTAGCCAATTCTCTAAAGTTTAATAACACACTCTGCTGGTGAGGCTGTGGGGAAACTGACATCCTCATGTGTTGCTCATGGGAATGTAAACTGGTTATAGCCTTTACAGAGGAAAAGTTTGCAATATTTATCAAAATTATCAATACATACTTCCTCTGACTTAGCAATTTCATGTCTGGAAATTTACCTAACAGATATATTTGCACTTGATTGAAATGATATACGTTCATGAATAATCACTGTAGCACTGCCTGTAACATCAAAAGAACAGACACAAACCAAATACACATTAATAGAGACCAGTTAAATAAACAGTGGAACAGCCACATAGTGGAAGAATACGCAGCCATTGAAAGGATCATGCATTTATGTATCGAAATGGAAAGACCTCCAAGATACAATGTAAGCGAAAAAAAATACAAACTTTCATCAACAAGGTGGGAAAGTAAGAGTACACCTTTGTATTTGCTTGCATATGCGTAAAGGAACAGTGCAAAGATCCATAAGTAATTTTAAATGGTTCCCTTAACTTTGGGGGTGGGAGTAGTAATGGGGTAGATGAAGGGACAGGGTTGGGAAGATTTTTTTACTGCATAAATTTGGATGTTTTAAAGCTGTAGAGCCACGTACCTATGTTACCCATTCAAAATTTTAGTTTAAAAAATTAAATTTCTCTACATATCTCTACCTGGAGCTTCCACTCACTGGTGCCAGCTCTGGGCTGTGATGCCACCCAGGGCAGTTCTGGTCCTGTTCCATGGGGCAGGAGTTGAGCCATCTGTAGAAGGCCTCCCCAGACACACAGCTGCTTCCCACCACTGTAGCTCCCAGCACGTGGTTCCCACCATCTCACCGCCCTTCCGATGGTGGTCATGAGTGCTGTTCACCAAATGTTTCTGCTTTTCCACCTCTGGACACATGGCAAGAGAGCATGCCCTGGCCTCCTAGTAGTTGGACGAAGCCATGTGATGAGATCTGGCCAATGAATTATGAGAAGCGATGGATAGCATTTCTGGACTGGGGCATTTCTGGACTGGGGCATTTGATTACCAGCATTAGACCCTCCAGAGCTCTTTTTCCCTTTGCTACAGTTCCTGGCAATATTCCAGATGTGGCTGCTGCTGGCTTGGGTCCCAGAGTGAGGAGATGCAAAGCGCCCAAGTCAACCTGCAATGGAGCTTAAGGAAGGTATAAGCCTTTGCTGTTTGAGCCATCAGGAGTCTGGAGTTGTTCGCCTCTGTAGCCCAGCCTATCCTGACTGGGACGCTCCTGAAGCGGCGTGAGCAGCACCAAGTGGGGGTGAGACCGTAACAGCCCCTGCCCTCGGGGCCAACGGCAGCAGGAGCGAGTGCTCACTGGTCATTCTACTCACACCACTGCCTCAACGATGCCCTGGATCTCCCGCTGCAGCTCTGGCTCCTTCCGGTAAGCGTCCACCAGCAGCAAGGCCTGGTCGTAGCTGGCACAGTAGACCTTGTAGACTTGCTCCAACTCCTCTTGGAATTCCAGGAATACGTTACCTGACCGTGAGAAAGTAACAAGGCGTTCTCAAAGGCATGTCTGTATGTCCCCTTGCTTGGGACAGGGAGGCGGTGAGGGAGACGGCTAAGCACTCCAGCTCTGCAGTGACTGCCAGCCTCAACCAGCCTCGTCACCTTGGGCAAGTTACCACATTTTCCTGAGTTTCCATTTTTTTCACCACACTTTCAAAAGGCTGCTGCAAGGATTAAGTGACAGAATGATGTAGAGCTCAGGCTGGCTCACTGTAAGTACTAAATAAATGGTAGCCATAATTATGGCAATAATATTGATAATTCTCATATTTGTACAGTGCTTTACAGTTTACAAACACACTCATGTTCTATCTCTACAATTGTATCCTTACAATTACCATGTGTGGCAAGTACCACTCCAAGCCCCCTGGATGACAAGGACATGCTCTCACACAGCACAGGCAGTCACAGCAGGGCCTTGGAGTCAGAGAGACTGAGGGCCAGACCTCCTGTCGACCTTTCCCAGTTGTGTAACCTGGGGCAAGCACTTAACCCCTCTAACCCTCCGTTTTTCCATCTACAGATTGGAATAAAAGTTGTAGTCACCTCCAAGTGTTCTTTTGTGAGAATTAAATGAAATAAATGCATGTAAAGCACCTGACACAAACTTCCTTCACCAAATATTTACTAGCTGCTTATTTACTGACTATGTGCCAGGCACTCTTCCTAGCTCTTTGATCAAAACAAAGCCCCTGCCTCACCGGGCTTACATTTGAGTGGGGAAGACAGATAATAAATAAATATATTACATACAGCAGGTAGTGATGAGAACCATGAATCAAGACAAAGCAGGAAAAAGAGTCAGAGAGTGGCAGGAGATCGACTGAGGGAAGGCCTCCATGAGGACGTGAATGTTTATCAGCCACTGGAAGGACCCACCCTGGGAATGTCTGGGGAAAAGCAGCACCAGGCTGAGGGAGGCACCAATGCAAAGGCATTAAGACCACTGAGCACTGGACAGGAGGACAACAGTAAGAAGGCGGGTGTGGCTGCAGCAGAGTGAGCGAGGGCACCAAGTAGAGAAAATAAACAGGAGACTGGAGTCAGATTATGAGGAGCCTCAAAGTAAGAACGGTGGGCTAACGTGTTTGGATTTTACTCTTATGGTGGCAGGAAGCAACTGGAGGGTTTTGGGCAGGGGTGACATGATCTGGTTTCTGTTTTATAAGGATCACTCTGGTGCTCAATTTCAGCAGCACATACACTAAAGTTAGAACAATACAGAGGAGAGTAGCACGGCCCCTGCGCAAGAACGACATGCAAATCCGTGAAGCGTTTCATATTTTAAAATCTGAAACTTATGAGACTGGTTATTTGTAGGGGAAATGAAACGGGGTGGAAAGAATGAGAGAATGGGATGGGGTAGTAGAGATGAGAAGGGAGTAATGCTTCACTGAATGTGCCTTTCTGTACAGCTCTGACTCTCAGAACCATGGTAATGTTTCACTTATACAATTCAGACCAACCAGGATGTGGAGGGTGAACCCCAATTGGGATACAAACAATAAGGAATGAGCCTAATTCTACTACAAATGAATAACATAACCACACTGAAAGGTGTGGGGAAGAAATTAACATAAGTAACTGTTTTTCACAGGGGTTACCCGTTAGTAATTCCAAAACTACTTTTATGCGTAAACTAACTTTGAACAAACAAGTAAATATATTGCAGATGACAGCCATTTCTCCCTGTCAGAGAAACAAATAAGAAAAGGAGGAAGACTAAAATGAACCCTGTGGTGCTGGTCTGGAATTGGAGGTATCAGTATGAACTCATGGTTTTAAATATATAAATACTGATAGATAGACATAGAAAGAAATGTAGATATGTGCATACATGTATATTAGTATATATACATATATTTGCTAGCTCTATCAGCTGAGAGGGCCTAGGAGCAATGACACCCCAGGAGCAATGAGCACACCTAGAGCCTAGAACTTGGTGTCTAAATGCCGTTCTCCAAAGACAGGAACCAGGGACCCCAGGAGAAATGGCTGATTTCAAGGATGGGCCAGAGAAAATACAAGACGAGCCTAGAACATCTTGTAATGTCAGAAAGTAAGGAAGTGCTCAAAAATTGTTGGAGGCATATTGAAAGGACATAGGAGCCAACGTGAAGGAGCTCCCAACGGCCAAAGCTGGTAAAATTTGAGCAAGAAAATGAAGAATGGGGCTGGCCCCATGGCTTAGCAGTTAAGTGCACGCACTCCACTACTGGCCCGGGTTCAGTTCCCGGGTGCGCACCGACGCACCGCTTGTCCGGCCATGCTGAGGCTGCATCCCACGTACAGCAACTGGAAGGATGTGCAACTACGACATGCAGCTATCTACTGGGGCTTTGGGGGGGGGGGCGCGGGAAGGAGGAGGATTGGCAATAGATGTTAGCTCAGAGCCGGTCTTCCTCAGCAGGAAGAGGAGGATTAGCATTGATGTTAGCTCAGGGATGATCTTCCTCACACACACACACACACACACACACACACACACACACAAAAGAAAATGAAGAATGATAGAACTGGATTCTGACTCAATAATAAAGTAAATATCCACGTGTCTATACTGATATAAAGAAATAACCGACTAAAGAAATGAACGGGAGAGAAGGGACAGTTCTTGCTTATAGAAGAATTCCAATTAAGTGTAGAAGGAATAAGAGAAATAGAAAATTACCATTGGAACACCAGTAATAATTATTGTGGGTAAGATCCATTGATGGGTGCTAAAATTAATGG